TATATATATATATATAAGTGTATATATCATGAGCCACTAAATAGTTTGAGCTAGTTGGATAGTTGGTTACTCCTTGTATAAAGGCTTGGGTGATGTTGTCATAGCAAAACTTTTTGCTCTTTGACATGGACTTTTAGTATTTGCAAGAATAAAGACATTGTATTTATTCATTCACTAGTGGGAAAAAGACGTTTAAGATTAAATTTTTTTACTTTTAAAATTGATTTTTAACCGATTTTAAAATATATGATCTTGAAATTTGGACTTTTAAGATCAGTTATTAACCAATCATAAAAGTACACTTTTAATATTGGTTATGGAATAATCAATCTTAAAAGTATCAACTTTTAAATGTCATAGCGGTTGTCGAGGTCGCAGTCATCGAGGTTGGGGACATTGACGATGTCGTCATTGAGGTCATTCATGTTAGCAGAATGCTTAGCGAGGTTGGGCCCGCACGAGGTCGAGGATGCAACGCTCCTAGTGGGGCTTCTCGTGGATGAATTTGTTGATCTCATCATTGAGGTTGCAAAGGCGATGCTCCCCAAGGCCTGCATTCTAGATCTCCACCACTTTGTGCCCAATCTCATGTATGATTTGCTAGTGCCATCGACAGACTTCTCCTTCTCCTTTGCCTTCATTGTGATGAAGCGATTCAACATCGATTATGTATTCTCCTCATTGCGAGCCATCTTTTTTTGAAATGGAACCTAGTGGAATCAGATTTTTGATTTTTTGATTGGGTTTGGGACTTGGATGAGATGAGATGAGGAGGAACGAAGGAGACCAAGAGAGACAACAGACATGGAGGCACAAGTAGTTATAGGAAGAATGCATTTCATTCATACTCGAGAAACTTTTAAGATCTATTCTTTTATAACTGATCTTAAAAGGTATGTTTGATACAACTTTTAAGATTCAAGATAAAAAGAACCAATTTTGTACATCACTTTTGATATTAGTTCTTTTATACCTGATCTTAAAAGTTGTATCAGACATACATTTTAAGATCAGTCATAGAAAAAATGATCTTAAAAGTATTTTTAAGATTGGTTAAAATTTAATTAATCTTAAAAGTAATCACATTATTTACAAAATTGTCATTGCGTCACTTTTAAAATTGGTTCTCTCTTAATTGATTTTAAAATCTCAATTTTAAAATTAATTTTTGCACTAGTGCTTGTGAGGCTAATAACTCAAAGATTATGAAGATTATGCGTCCTAGGAGGTGTCCCCCTTGCATCCACATGTGGGTGGGTCAAATCTTTTTACCATGTGTATTGTGAGGTTAATTCTATAGTTGATTTCCTTGCCAAATGAGGTGTTCATGAGTTGATTCTCCAATTTTTTTGGAGAAATACTTCTCATAGTTTAGATACCCTCCTTCTTAAGTAGTGATAGATCCAAGACTCTAGGTTAGTGTAAACAATTTTAAAAATAAAAATAAAAATTAATAATCATCATATCATATATATATATATATGAAGAACAAAACATAAATGTCAAAAACAATCATTAGTGGGTTTAGTATGTAAAATTAAGGGGTGCAAAGTACAAAATTTTAAAACATACACTAATAATTTAATTAACATAAGGAGGTGTATCTATTCACACTCACTATAATGTAGGTCCACCACTATTTTCAAGGATAGCTTAGACTAGTACCCTCATTTTGTATTTTTCCACTAAATCAAAAAGAAGAAGAAAACTATATGATAATCTTTATAGTCATTGAATGAATAAACCAAGATAGTATAAGAGTGTTCCTTCTTTATCAAGACGGAAAAAATGTATAATTGGAATTTGATTTCTTGTTTGTTCCATTAAGAAAATTGACTTGCTCTTCACATGTGAAGTCATGATCATATTGGATAGAGTTTGTAGTTTCCAGCATGAATGGGAGATTTGGAATCAAAGAAAATGAGAGGAAATAATGTTTACTTAAGGTAAAAGAATCCATTTATTCATCATGCTTAATTAAATTCATTCAATCCATCCATTACAATAAAAATAAATAATAAATCATATTCAAAGTAACCATTTAATATTATTGATCATTAATAATTCATCAACTATTTTTTTTTAAATTTATTGGATTACAATAAGTGAAATCTATTGAATTGAAATTATATAAATAAAAAAAAACATGTTTTGATAGATAAAAAAAAAAGTCTTATAAATTTTTAAAAAACTATATAAAAATGTAATAACTTATAAGATTTTTTTTCTAAATTTGATAGTTTCAATTTTAATTATTTAATTTATAAATATTATTTTTATAGATGAATGAGATATATGTTCATAACAAAGTTGTTAATGAATCTTTAAATTACTGAATTTATAAATGAAACTTTAATAAATTAAAGTGAATTTAATGAGTTTTTATTTTTATCTGATCTATCATAATCCATTTTAAACCCAATTTTATCACTATTTTTTATTTTTTGTAAATCAGAAAAATCTAAACCTAACCGAAACATTTTTCTCATTCAAATTTAGAATCAAGTCACATAATACCCACAAATTGAATTTATTTTTATTTTTCCATAAAAAATATTACAAAGACACAACGAAGATCAAATATAGGCCCTCTTGCTCCTACATTAAGGAATTATTGTTTTTTATCTCATCTACCATATCAATCTTAAATCCAAATCTATCACTATTTTTTTATATTTGTAAATCAAAAAATACCTAAACCTAACAAAAACATTTTCTCCTTCAAATTTAGAATCAAGTCAAATGATATCCACAAATCAAATTTATTTTTTACTAATCAATTATTATTTATACCTAATCTATCATAATCCATCTGAAACACAATTCTATCACTATTTATTTTATTTTATTTTTGTAAATAAAAAAAAACTAAACCTAACCATGACATTTTCTCCTTTAAATTTATAATCAAGTCAAATGATATCCATAAATTGATTTTATTTTTGTTTATCCACATAAAAGATTACAAAGACACGACAAAGATCAAGTTTAGGTCATCTTGCTTCTATCCTTCATAAATTATTATTTTTATCTTATCTATCATAATTCATCTTAAATCCAATTCTATCACTATTTTTTATTTTTTGTTAATAAAAAAGAACTTAAACCTAACCAAAACATTTTTTTCTTCAAATTTAGAATTGTGTCAAATAAAACCCGTAAATTAAATTTATTTTTATTTATCCATAGAAAAAATTACAAAGACGCACCTAGAATCAAATCTAGGTTATCTTACTTCTATCCTTAATGAATTACTATTTTTATTTGATCTATCATAACTCATCTTAAACTAAATTCTACCACTACTTTTTATTTTAAAAAAAAACTAAATCTAATCAAAACATTTTCTCCTTCAAATTTAGAATCAAGTCACAAGATATCCACAAATTGATTTTTTTTTATTTATCCACAAAAAAGATTACAAAAATGCAGTGAGTATCGAATTTAGGTTCTCTTTCTTCTACCCTAATCCCCCCCCCCCCCCCCCCCCCCCCCCCAAACAAAAAAAAAATTAAATCACACTTTTATACACCTTAAATCTATTAAAAAAACAGTTTAATGAGAGTTTATAAAATAAAAACCAAAGTTTCCCATAATATGAGCTATGAAAAAAGTCAAGTTAGAGAAGAGACACTGCTTGCGTGAAGAATACAATATTTGATAGGTTGTTTAATCAGAAGTTAAAGCTTCTCTGAGCAGACAACATTGGTTATTTCCTTGACGGCACAACTTAATCAGGGTCAAGTGCCTAACGTACCTGAATATTATTTGTCTACAAGAAAGTATTTGTTTTTTCTTCTAATGTAAATGGTGAACTATATAGCACTTGGCAAGGTGTTAAAAGAAATTTTCATGAAAATGGTTAATGCATGTTCACACTGGCACACTGCAGCCTTTCCAATATCGCTGTATCAGCAGCAGGAGATAATAATTACGTGAAATCATAACACACTGAATTAAATATTATGAAAACAAACCATAATCCAGCCTTTCCAGTACATCCATGATAATTATACATGTCCATATGCTATATAAAACTTTCGGATTCTATATGTATTTTTACTAAAATCCAGGGCTTACCTCGCTACGAAAAGGGAAAACAAATAAATGTATTTCTATGAAAGACCCCCACACTCAAGGAGAAACAGAAACATATGCATGTTATTTATCCGCTCCAGATTATTTGTGTTTTGACTTGTCGGCAAACACTTCCGTGTAACATATAGGGCAAGCCTGTAAAAAGAAAGCCCGACAGAAAAGGCAAAAAGATAAGTATCTCAGCAGACGTGAAAATTGGCTCTAAAAGGACTTATTGAGTTCATGATAAATTAGTAAATATCTTGCCTTATTGATGCTAAGCCACCTGTTCCCACAACTAGCATGATAAACATGTTTACATGGCAAGGTGATACGTTTGTCCCCTCTTTTATATTCCATCTGGCAAATCACACATCTAAACAAGAAGACAAGTGAGACCAATAAATTAGCTGGGAGAACACAAGTTATAATTTCAATGCACGCAATAGACATAATACATGGAGTTTTTAAGTTTTTATTCCCATCTCGACTTCTATTTTATACAAGGAAAGAAAAGAGATACAATACTAAACTTTGTTCATTTTATTTTACACACCCTTTGTTCTCATTTACTGATCGTGCGAGACAGACTTTTTTGGTAAGCTTAATAGAAATTTAACCCAAAGAAAAAGCTGAATAGCAACAATCAAAAACACCTGAACATCAATTTGGACCAAGAAATAGAACTATTTGATTGAAAATACTCAACATAGAACAAGTAGAGTTCAAGAATAAAAAGCACAAACAAGGATTTTGAAAGCTAGACACATGACAAAGAAAATTTATACAAAAAGTGTAAGGAGAAGAAAAGCAATAATTGCATTAAAACATAACGAATCCAGAAACCCAAATATTACCTCTCATCCCGTGACTTCTTCCTCAAGAAGAACCCACATTTGTACTTTGACACCGGAAGTGAGGAGATCTGTTCTTGGGTGAGACCACGGCTTTGAGTTCCAACAGCTTCTCCTAATTCAAGAAGTTCCTGCAATAAATGATACCATATTCATATTTGGAAAATTATAAACTCAAATATATGGAATCTATACTTCCACCTTTTTCTAATTGCTAATTTGCTGTTTATACAGATGTTCACATACTATAATGATTGAAGATCACACTACCATTTGCCACACAGTTGAAAAACACGTGCAACTGAGACAATTTTCTAACATAAATGTTAACATTTATTTTTCTCTGGAAATAATAAACCAGCAGTAGAAGGAACATATGGATTTTACCAATTGTAATTAAAACATGTAACGCAATTTAGCTCATAAGGACACAACTGCAAAAATTTTATGAAATGATTTGGCCAAACAATATTTTCTAAGAGTAGCTATCTCCATGTAGAATAATGTGTACTGGGATGCGTAAAACAACCAGAGACATAAAAATAAATGGCAACCAAAGTACATTCCCTTAGTCAAATAATTACAAGATTAACTATTGTATATATCTAGGATTGAATCCAAAGAAATAGAATATATAGTAGTTGTACTTAAGGAAATACTATATAATGCCTAGAAAGAGAAGGAATCAGAGACTCTCAATCGTACCTCATAGGTCATGTTGTCGGGATCAATATTGTCTTGCCAAATGACCTGCATAATTTGGCAAAATGGCTTGTTAGATAATCATTTACTATTCTTCCAACTGATGAATGGCTAAAGGCATCTGCATAAACTTGTTAGATGTTCGTAGTATTTAATCATTTCAGGAACCAGGAATCTTGAAGTCAAATACCTGATAATCATTTGAATTACCATGATGTCTTCGAGGACCTGAAAGAAAAGAGACAAAATTAATTAAATTGAGCAAACATTTTATATGCAGGGAGAAGGGACACAAAGCTATCAAATGACAGATCTACAAAAGGGGGTTTGCCTGGGCATAAATGAAGCTATTAACAGAATCTACTGCCTTGTCTTTGGAACTGAGCTTAAAAAAGTCCTACAATATTTGTTCTACGCAAGGGCTACCATATTTGGATGGCTTACCAAAGTGGGACTACTCATTTAACTGGTCTCTTTCTTTAAGGAGTGGAACAAAGCATTAATAGAGGATCAGAGACAAATCCAACGGGGGATGAGCCTCATAGTTTATTTAACATTTATAAGTTGTAAACTATGTTTACTTTACTTTTGTCACTAATTCTCAGTCTCAAACACTTGTGTCACTTCAATTTTCAGGCTCATTATTTTGACTTCTACATACTTATATTTCAATGCAATTATACATGTCAGGTCCCCCCTTACATGTTTTATAGATCTGTCCCCACAGAGGACCCAAGGCCATATTTTCCTTACAACAATAGTTAAAAGTTTTAGCATTTATTTCCTTCTAGGCAAAAAGACAGGGTAAAGATTTAGACAGGGAAAATGATGGGCCATTTGTTGCTTCAATTGTTCCAAGGCCTTTATATGTTTACAAAAAATATTTTCAGATGAAAATCACAAACGTACATTCAATAGAATTGTCTCGCATGTCGCTGTTTCCACCTTCAACCCAATCTGTGCTTACTGCTGCTGTCTGTTCATTGACTGTCAATGAGTTTTCTGAAGGTCTCCTATACTCGTCCACCAGTTGTTCGTGATGATTTACCTCATAGCCATGACTGTAACGATAGTATGAATTATTCTCGGGTTCAGATAGTCCAAACTTGTAAAAGCCTGAATTTGAAGGGTATGAACTCTCCTGCACATATAAATGGAATTCTATGTCTTTACTTGAATATTAAGAATCTCTCAGACTTTCATTAATATCGAAAGAACAACAACAAAGTTCCAGATAAAATAATGAAACACAGATCTACATTAAGAAAACAAGAAAATAAGAACAGTTTCCATCAAACCAAGGTTTATATAAATATTTTAAACAGAATATAAATGAACTTTTTGTAGGCACCTGAGCATGTGATGCACCAGAAAAAATGAAGTTGACATGTTCATAGGTGAGACCTTCAAAATATTCGATAAAGCTTCCTGCTGTATTATAGGGATAGCTAATGCTATTGTAATGGACCTCCATGTGTGGGTTCCAACTCATTTTCAATCCTTTCTGCCGGACAAGTAACCTGCAGTCTGCATAGTGAATTCAGAGCAAATTCAATTACAAGAATCAGCGCAAAGACAATTAAGCACACAAACACAAAATAAATAAATAAAAAACCCAGCACTAACATCAATATATATACAAAAATCTATTCTGCAATCTTGGCAGATTCACTCGGGCAGATTCGTCAACAAATGTTGAAGCAATTAACAAAAGACCATCCGCCTCATATGATTCAGCTACTCCTAAAATGCAAACCTCAAAAAAAAAAAAAAAAAAATACACAGATGCAGTGAGGGAAGATGCCAATAATTCTTCCAATTCTGTTTTATCTTCGATTAGTAATTTATTGCTTAAATCCATTCATTCCAAAATAAAATATATAAAAAAATCCAGCATGCCTAATCTAGCATTTTACATCAAGAATGAATAAATTTCAGAACTAACAAATGCAGTAAAGAAACATGACAAAATAAAAAAATGAAAAGGCATTCCTATCAACGCTTACAAAATTTTAGCCAACAATCTATTACGTTAATATAAAAATGTGCTTCTTATCGGCTGAGATCACATAAAAGTAAGAAAATCTGCGAGATCTCTATGGAAGAAACGAAGATTCAAATTCAATGACGAGGATAAGAAGCGCGTGAGAGAGGAATGTCGTTCTGGCATCTGAGCCTATGAAAATTCAAGCAACGCAATGACAGTGTATTCCTCGTCAAACTACAAATCCTTTAGTTGTATTTTTTAATTTTAATTTTCGGAAACGAAACAAGAGAGAAACGGAAGGAGTAGAGAGGGAGAATAATCACATGAAGTGCGCAATCGAGGCAGGAGAATATCGCAGCTTCGGAGATCGCAACGGCAGAGGAAAATGCACGGATCAAAACCAGAAAAGCAACGACTGCGAAGATCAGCAATGATAATTGATTAAAAAATGGAAAGAGACGAAGAAGCAGAGAGAGAGAGAGAGAGGGATTGGATTCGAAAAGTGGAAGGATGAAATTGAAGGAACTGACCTAGACCTTCATTGCTTTTGCTGAGAGATGAGTGATAATGGCGAAATGGCTTCGTCACTCTTCATTTTGTAACTCACTCATTCACTCTCTCTCTCTCTCTCTCTCTCTGCCTTTACGCACTGCGCTGGAGCTGGTTTCACCTACACGCAAACTCCGTTAGATAGACCATGATCAGCTGCATCGCACCTTTTCACCAAACGTTACGGATTTCTATTTTTATTTTTATTTTCATTTTCATTTTTATCTGGACAAAACAATTAAGACAACTACATTGAAATTTTGGTCTCCTTTCTTTTCTTTAGACTCGGTTGTATTCATATCAGATCATTGCCTAAAAAAAATTTAAACATTAAGATTATTTTTTTAATCCATAATATTACTATAAAATATTTACTCGTAATTAACATCTGTCGTAAGTGAGTCTTTACTTATTAACATAATCTATTTCAATATTAATGTCAAGATTCAAATCCTTAATCAAGATCGTAATATTGATTTTATATCATCAAAAGTATAAAATTTAAACAAATTTAGTTAAATACAGCAAAATAGTAGCATTTCACATCAGACACTCTTTGTCTTTGAGATCATAAAATTTAATTACGTTTATTTTTTTTTAATCGAGTAAATGTAAGTTTTGTTTTTTAGTTTGAAGTTTTTTTTTTTTTCCCTAAACTGAAGTATCTTCTTTTCACCATATCATAAAAAATAGAAAGAAAAAAGTTAATAAAAAATTATTACATGAAATCGTGTCAATACAATTATTTTTTGTTTTATGCAGTAATTTTTTCTGATAAGCGAAACAATTATTTTTCATTATAATAAAAAAAATGAAATAACATTTAGTAATAATTATATAATATAATGTTTTATTATAAATATTTATAGATAATGGAATAATAATTTTTGCTTTTCCTTATATTATCCTGTTTTATTTTTATTTTACTCGTCTAATATATAAGCGAAGTAAATTATAGTTGAGGAGAGTGTTAGTTTGGCCTTTTTTTTCTTGGTGTAAATTAATATTTAAAACGATTGAAAAGTGAGAAAGAAAAAGGGAAAACAATATAGAATTAGTTTTAGGAAAGAAAAAGGAAGTAAGTAAAATCAATGTAATTCTTGCTTGCTGAATAAGGGAAGCATCAAAGTGAAATGGATAGAAAAAACTTTTGTTTGATTTAAAAATGGAAATATTAAAGAGATGGGACGTAGCCATAAGAAGAATTAGATATGGAAACGGGTTCCACATGAAGGAGACCACCAAATCCTAGGGTTCTTTGATAGGGACAACCTTAGTGGTTGGCCAATGTATAGAAAATGAATCATGTGAAAGATAAATATGGTTGAAGAGGGGTGACCAAACAAAACTATATGATTAGTTGGTACTATCAGTTATGGCTAGTTAGCAATCAACCTGCACCAAAATCTATGCATATATTCTTTCCATTTTTTCACGAAATACGACAATTTTGTTCTACTCATACATCTAATCTCCTACAAGGTGAGGCTATGCTGATGAAAATACAACTTTTTCGAGACCAATTATCGTTTTTCTTTTGGTAAATGAAAAAAAAAAAAAAAAACTAACCAACACAACAAGAGTGTAGGTTCATTGGGGAGTGAGCACGTGTTTGGATACAATTTTTTCCAAGAAAATAATCATTCTTTTAAAAAAAATTTAACTAATTCGAAAAAAAAAAAGTATTTAAACAAAAATAATTAAATTAAAATAAGTTCATTTAGTGTCCTTTTTATCATCTACTATCAATGGTTAATGGTGTTTCAGGGCTGTGTGTGTTTGTTTGAATGCTGAATTGGACGTGCGTATGAAGTTTTTCATGTAGAAAAATTGAGAAAAATGAAAAAGTTAAAACAAACATACTCAAGGCTAAGTGAGTATTTGAATGTATTCTTATATCGACTAAAGGGGGTGTATTGGTTTAGGATTTCGTAGGATTTTAAAAGACTTTTTTTGAGTAAAAAAGTCCATTGGTATTCAATCAGGATTTTATGTCACTTAAAAACAATCCAGTGGTATTCAATCTGAATTTTCAAGATTTTTTAAAGAGTCCATTAAAATCCACTGGTATTCATTTGAGATTTTTTACAACTTAAAAACAATCCATTGGTATTCAAAAATATAAGGATTTTAAAGGATTGTTGTGTGAGAGGGATTTTGAAAGACTTTCTAGTGTTATCTATAAATACCAGATTCATAAAACAATCCCATCCAAACCCATCGGATTTTGAAGGATTGTTTGAAATGATTTTTCAAGTGTTTTAAGAATTTTCAAGTGAGTTTTTCATCTTTTTTTTCTATGCTCCTGTCTTCTCCATTTTTTCTCTACTAATAATACTACACTATTGTTCATTGCTCATATATAATACTATTCTCATACCATTCTCCTATTTTGTGAAACTCTAATATGTAAATGATAGTGTCATTGACTTGTTTTATTTTTCTGTTCGTTCTCTTTAATTGACTTACTTTATTTTATTCTATGTAGTTGAATTTGTTCCTTTATATAACACAAAAAAATACTTGAAATTTTAACTTTTAAGTGGTAATTTTTTTTATGACACACGTTAAGAAAAGAAAAAGGTGAAAGATGAAATTGATATCATAATCTCAACAATATATATATA